GTGGTGGAAACAGCGGAGGGATATGAATACCCAGCTGTGTTCCTGAGGTGGGATCTCTGCACCCGCCACACAGGGGACTAGACCCAATGATCTTCTAAGATCCCTTCCGGCCTTACAATCTATAAATCTATGAAATCTGTAGGAAGTGTCTGCTGCAGGCAACTCAGTACTCTGAAACCTCATGGTGACATCAGAAGATGGAAAAGTGGGAGTGGCAGAAACAGCATGTGATGGACTGAACCAAGAATTCAAAGTCACCCACCCCACACAGAAATATGTGCCTGAGCTGCAACAGATTCTGTTGTCCCTAGATAGGCCTCGTCAGCCACCTTCAGACCCACAGGTAGGACAGTCATGGAAAACAATCATCTGCATGTATGCAGCTAAAACTACTTACTTGGATTCCAAGGCCATGGTTATCAGCATAGGCAAAACTCTCAAACAGCTGCACCTCTGTAAGGTGTAAAGATTTCAGGATCGGTCCCATTTGTCAACTACTCTAAATACGCCTCATTGCTTGGCAGTCAGTGGAGCCGCTCTGACTCACACTAGCTGAGGCCTGGTACATAAGCTATAGAATATTTTTCCATGAAAACTGAAATGTGGCTTTAAAGTCAAACCCCATCTATATGTTTCCCCAATGAGCAATCTTATTTTACCCCTTCACATTTTCTTATGCAAACATATGCTGCATGCACCATTAGTCTGGATGACACACAATATGTGTAATATAAAAAAAAGATACACATCAGATAAAGTTTGCGTTTCATAAAGGTTATTTTATTTATTTGATAATGCATTTTTTCCCATTAAAAAATTATTTTCTTCAGCTATTTATTCATTCTTGACCCTTGGAGAGCTTGCTGCCATCTGTTTTTTCTTGGCTTTCCATTACCTCTTCTTCTTTCACTTCTTCTCTTTCCCCCTGTGTACCAGCAAAGGGCTGCACTATGTGCTATCTCATAGCCAAATTATGCAGGGTATTGTAAACACTTTATAAACTTTGCCAGCTGCTAAGTCAAGAGTTCTGCAAGATCTTTCTCAGCATTGGCAACATGCTTCAGAGAAAGGGAGACAGCCGCTCAGAAGCAGATTTGTGGAACAATACAGTGCAAGGTTACACTTCTCTAATTGCAGAGCAGAATTTGCAATGGATTGATAGAGGAAAAAAGCCAAAATACGTTTTTCCTGGAGCACCACGCCTGTATCATTAAGGCAGCCAGGGTTTAGTTATGCTTCAGCCTCTTCAGCTGTAAAATCAGAATGATGCTATTTTCCCGCTGAACCTGGGTGCTGTGTTATGTTGACGTTCGTTCTGTGCTTTGACAACATTTTCTTCAGTGTCTGGTAGAATTATGCAGGTGCTGAATCTTACTCTTTGTAACAAAAAGGGTTGCAATAGGGATCATAGGCTGACATTACTCCCATTGAAGTCAGTGACAATACTCTAAAGGATTTCACTCCTAAAGGAGTAGGTTGGGTCCTTAATACATTTCAGAACTTAAGTTCCATTCTATTGAAATTATTTTGCTGAGAGAGAGCAATAGACTTCGTCTGGTGATGCCAGGAATTCAGTGGTGTTGCAGTGATAGAAATGAAGGTAATAGTACTTACTCTCAGGAGGTAATAGCAAAAGCTTAAGTTGAAACATGTGGGATTCTAAGTTTCCAGCCCAGCTCCCATGAAAATTAATGGGGATCAAGAAAGAGTAGATGTACTGGATCACATGCGGGTCTTATTGGGTCCAGCCTTCTCTGAAATCAATGAGAATTATGCTTTGCTCCTGCTCAGGCCAAGACTAAATTTGGCGTGTAGTTTCTCCATTATCATAAATCAGGGGCTTTCAACCTTTTTAAAGGAGTGTACCTCTTCTGGGTCCACTTCTGGTGGAGTGGGTGGGGGGGTGGTTGCGGCAGCAGCAGCTGTCACATGTGAGCTTCCTCCCCACTACCCCCATCCAGCTGCCTGTGTGTCCTGCAGAGGGGAACCACTGCCCTTGCCTCCTCCCGCCCGACCCTGCTCCTGGGAGGCGGTAGTGCAGGGTGGTGGGTGGCACCACTCTGTCCCCACCTGCACATACCCCCTTGCCCCTTTCCAAGTACCCCCAGAGGTACATGTACCCCTAGTTGACAAACCCCATCATAAATGTATCAATACACAGTAAACATCACATAGCCACTAGAATTACCTATCCACTGAAAGAAATCACCTGGGGCAAATTTACATTCATAGCTCTTTGCTTGTCTTGGATGTTCATACAATGGTTGCATTAGTATTGCCAACACCAAATACTAAAAAATCCTGAATCAGGTCACTCACTAAAAATCCTGAGTCAGGCTTTAAAAAAATAAATAAATAAAAAAAAATCAAGTTCTAAAATAAATAAATTGGTGGCTTTGTCTTCTGGTTTTGTAGCCCTTAATGTGCCCTTGGGTCATATTTTTCAGCATTTCCCCATAACCATCAGGGCTGAAGACTTACCTTTTAAAAAAAGAAAGCTGAAATTCTTTCCTAAGTTGGCTCCAGGACCTGGGACTCCTGTATGAATATCATGAGACGCGATTAAAAATCACCAGAATTGGCAACACTATTGCAGCAGTCCTCACTGTGGGCCTGCTCTGAAGTTCAGTTAAGTCAGAGGACACTTTCCTTGGAAAAACTTGGGATCAGCACTAGAAGGAAGTGTTCATTCCAGTTGGATTTAGGAATCTGTAAGGATCTGGGCCAGGAAATCCATATTCGTGAAGGCACAGAGCTATCCAAAGACAAAGCATTCAGGTTCTGTGTTGGCTATAAATTCACAAAGAACTTCTCAGTGTTTAGATTGTGACTGGAAGGGAAAAAGACAGAAATTTGAACTTAGAAGTTTAGACAAGAGGAGAGAAAGATGTCAGAGTAACTGCTCATAGTACCATAAGGTCACTCTTGGATATCATTCTTGGAAAAACTCCAGGGGTTGTACAAGAATAATGCTCAGCTCAGTGCTGCTTGGCCTAACTCCATCTACCATCCTTCAGCTGCCCTCCATATGTGTCTGAATACGTCTCCTCCAAATTACTTCTCAGAGCTAAAGGATCCAGTGTTCATTTGTAGTGTTCAGGAGATTCGGCTCAGACGTTAAATGAGTATTAGTTTGGCAAGCTTTCACTTTCCTTTATAACACTTTTTGCTAAAAGGATTCCAAGGTGCTTCACATTTCCACAATCTGTCTGTGAAACCCTTGACTTATTTCTCTATTCTTACTATTTTTACAGTGCAAAAACAAGGAGAAATGAAAGAAAAAAAGTTGGGAATGGCTTGGCTTCATAAGATATGTATGTATACTTTTAAATAGAAGTCTATGGTCTTTCAGTCAATCTTAAAGGGATTTAAAGTTACCTGTTTATAAAGTTTTTGACTGCTACAGTTATGTAGCCAGCTGTAGCTTGTGTTTGTAGGTCTGCAATTTCATTCATGGTAAACTAAAATTCATCACTTAAATCAGCAGGAAGTAAACTTTGGTTTAGAAGATTATCAATTATAACTTGTTTTGCATTTTTTTACTGATAACTTTCATTTCTGAAGAAAATTTGTTCTCATTAGTTAGCATAATCTAGTCATTCTTTTTGCTAATAAGGTGTGCTCACAAATTCTATTCATATTTAAGTAATGTGATAGCTTAAGATGCAATTGTTTAGGTTCATATGTTTTATGTTTTCATTATGTTTCAAAATAGTAAATGACTTTTTTACTACATGATTAATTACATTACTTTTGATTTATGTCAAATTGCATATTGATAGAGTTAATTTAAACATACACAAAAATGTTCTCTGAACATTTTTCTAATGAACACAAAAATGTTCTCTGAACATTTTTCTAACGAATAAAAATGTTAAGCTGCTACATGCAAAATGGAAAATTTATGAAAAGCTATTTTATAGTTAAAACTTATTACTGTATTAAAGAAAGAAAGCATTCTTCATGCTTAGTTAATTGCTCTGATTGTTTTGGGTTCTGATGCCCTCTGAGCTGTTAGAATGGGGAGATGTCTTTCTGCTTTGTATTTTCCTGGATTTTCATGTGTCAGTCCACTTCTCAACTATAGTTGATGAACTGAACCAAATAATTCATCCTCTGCAGCTGCATTATAGGCTCAGCAACCCATAATTCCTAGCTGTGTGGTCAGTGACTTTTAATTCTGAGGTAATAACTAACTGTTTAAAACTTTGGCAAACAAAGTATGTAGTGCTTGAATGTTATTTTAAATATAAATTATTCTAAAGGATTGCAGAAGCTGGCATACATTGCTGGGACTCCAAATTTAATTAAGAAGAGATTTATTTCTTTAAAAGAAGCATATAATTGAAAAATCCAATTGTTTTGAATCTACGCTGCACAATTTGCACGGAGCCCCAATTCTGATTTCACATGATTACATGGGAGATAAAAATTAAACCAACATAGAAATGAACCTACTTTAGACTATTCTCTTTTTTTCAGCGAGCAGACTACCCTTTTAGGTTTGCATACAATGCACTCTAAAATTATCAGATATACACCTTGTTTTTGAAAGGCAGAATGAAAGAAAAAAATCATCTTTCCTTGTAGTAAGTAACTGAGCAGCAGCAGCAGTTAGGAAGCTAAGCCTGCTCCTTGTTCTGTTCCCTGTGAATCATGTGACGACTTGACTTTTGCTTTTGCCTAGCAAGTACCAGAAATTGCTCATACCATATTTCGGTGCATATAATGTACACTCCAATTTCTAGCAGCCAGTTTTTGGAAAAAAGATGTGTTAGATGTGTGAAAATATAGTATGAGCTACAGAAACATCTGTTTATTAAAACTGATTGATTCATATTAACCCCTGATAAAGATCCCTTGGCTTCCTTGGATTTACACCAGGGAATCACTTACCTTGTGAGGTTTTTTTGCTCACTATTTTCTACCTTAAGAATGATAATCCCTGGAAATCTTCAGTTCCTGGTGTCCAAATCCATTCAATGTTTATGTAAAATCTCCACCTAGATTTGTAACAGGACAAGGGTGAATGCATGTGTACACATTGATGAAATTATCTGTGTTTAGAAATCTAAGCTGCGTGATCACTGCAATGCATGTATATAGCAAGAACCCGAGCATTTTTCCTTTGGTTAATGGCAAATGCTCTATTTACTTCAATGGAAGGAAAATCCAGTCCTGGGTCCTTGTGATAGGTTAGATCAAGCTGTCTGAGTCATCCCAGCACCAGTATTCAGGCAAACAGTCTTTTTGGCCTCAGTAACATTACTGGCAGCCCTAAATGCTGACTAGCCAGATGAGAGGTCTCAGTCATCTATAGTGCAGAACTGGCATTTTGGTTTTAGGTTTTATATCAAGGCCAAGATACATATCATTGAAGATGGGAGGTGAGAAGTCAAGAATCTGAGCAGCCCAGCTGTTCCTCAGGCAGCTGGGTTGGCTTCCATTTGCAGGGTGAAAGCAGCTGACAACCTCTGCTAGCTGCTCCAAATAGCACCAGCTACTACCAGAGTTCCAGGCTGGCTGAGACCAGTAACCCACCTGGAGTGCATCTACTGTAGCAAGAAACCTTTTTGTCTGCCCCCCCTCCAAATGTGAAGCTCCTCCATATGGCAAAAGCCCCTTTTGCAGTATTTGCCCCCTTTTGGGGATGCTTTCTCTTTTCTACCTTTTCTTCCTTCCTCTCTCTTTTTTTTTATTATATCATTACTGTTTTTATATAAGGTGTATTTGTAGTGAAAATAGAGTTTGTAGATACTTTTACAAATGTACTTTAAGTTTAAAAGTAAGTTGTACCATGTAACAATGTTAACAAGGGCAGGAATCTCTGTATGGAGCAGGTCCCTGAATCATGGTTGATTGTGTAACACAGTAGCTAGTCTGGATAAGCATGTTAATGTTTAATTAATGTGAATTAACTTAATTAGTGTTAATTAACACCTACAAAATCAGAGATCAAGAAGAGGAAAGAATCAATAAAGAGCCAGGAATTCCCAGGAACTTCATTGTTAAAAGGTACAGAAGCCCCGGTTTGAACTAATCAATGCTGGAAACAGACCCTTGGGGCTGAAATACCCCTGATCAACCACTTCCAGAACTCTATTCATCGTGGCAGTGAATCAATCAAAATTCATCAATGGACTTCTGAGACTGCACGTATGTGCAGACATGACCCCTGGGGCTGACAGCTGCCTTCCACCAGCTATCAAGAGGGACGTCCCTTGAGGTCAACTACCCCTGGATTGGGTAAGCCCAAGAATTGAGGAGTCACCAAAGTTTGCCAGAGAGGGATAAAAGGCAGTGAAGAATGACCCCCCAATGGCACCCTCTTTGACCTGACCAGCACCCTGCCTGTCCAGCCAGAAGGACCAGTCGGCGTCCCCCTTCTGAAGAAATATCACATTGAAAGAGGCCTCGACTGGCCATCAACAGCAGACTCCAGTGCTTAGGGATAGGTATATCCTGACACCGGTGCTTAGTGTTTAGAGCTAGCTACTGTGAGTGTGTGTGCGTGCGTGAATGTGTGTGTGTTTGAGGGGATCAGCACCAAGGTTTATGGTCTGACTTTTGCATCCATCCAATAAATTAGAATTTTATGATGACCCTGTGAGTTGGTGCTTTGTAACCAACACTACACGAGACATTTCCTGTGGAGCTGCCTAATTAGCTCAGCAGTAAGGTCTCTGTGGTGGGCCAGTAGGGGGTGCTCCTGAGCCACCCACCTGACTGCGCCCAACCACCTTCCAGGCTCCAAGTGCCTCCCTGGAGGCAACTCATGTCTGGCCGACCCCCTTCCTGGAGCACACCTGTTAGCCTGGGGGTAGAGCTGCCACCACCCAGGGACAGGCTTGATCCTGGCTCTGCTTCCCCTGGGAAACACAGGCCTAGTAGCCCTCCAGGGTACTTGACTCACTTCAAGAACTTGGGGTGCTTCTCTCAGTTGGAAGCACAAGTAGTGGTGTCCCTTAGTTAGCTGAACTAAGGGGACCCCAAGGCATAATCTAGATCCACTCCCAATAAGTCTCCCATGCTAGGTACAAAGGAGAACTGTATTGGTTACAAGGAGTAGGGTTGGAATAGGGTACAGGGTTGAGTAGTATCAGAGAAATCCCATAGAGCAAATGGGGTGGCTGGAGTAGCCTTTGATCATGCATCTGAGTTACTGCAAGCTGTATATCTAGTTAGATCTCAGGTAGCTTATCATCCAGAGGCAGGTGGAGATTCCCTCTGGAGGCAGGCAGTTCCTTGATCATGAGTTTTGAAAGAGAGAGAGCCAGTTTCAGATGGTCCAGCTCTTTTCTCTCTCTGAATTTTCCTCATGGCTGCTGCCCCTTCCTCCTGGGCAGTCCTTAACTTATATCGCCCTTATGACCTCATTTACCTGGTCCAATGGCGGCCAGCACCTGTTGGCTGTCAGCCAAACAATTTGAAATGCATCACTGGTTGCTGGGCAGACTGGCAATCTGTCTTTATCGTCTTTTCTCCATGGCTATATTCTCCCATTCTTTGTCCAAGTTAAAGAATGACTCTCATTTAAAATGTTATGAAAATGGTATTTTATCTGCTGCTGAAAAAACTCCCACTCTGACTGGACAGGAAGAAAGGTATAGGGAGTGGGGTGTGTTTCTGTTGAGATGTCACAGCTCAAATCTTAACATACATCTTTGCAAATAGTCAGTATTGCTCCAATATCTCAGGTATTCCCTCTTCTAGGCATAGTGAAGAAAGTGGAGAATGATGTACTGTATCAGTAATATTACCTCCCTGAGAAAGCAAAATGGCAGAGTTTGAAATGGTGATTGCTATTGGTATAGGAATTACACAAATGTTTCTATCGCTCACTAAGCAAACCAGTTATGAGAATTTTTCACTCAGCTTGCAATACTGACCTGTAGCAATCACAGCTGCCCTGGTACAGCTCTAATGTGCCCCCACCTTACACCTTTGAGATGTTTCTGTCAGAGTCCCTATTTCACAGTACTGGAAATGCATTAGAAATCGCATTCAATTCTACCCTGTTAAATATGTGATGACCCATCCTTTTACATAAGGCTGCATAAATCAGGCACTTGCAGTTTTTCCTCCCAAAGAATTTTACATTTCACTGAAAAGGATTTTGCAGTGGGTATTCAGTGACTGTCAAGAGTATGATTAATGAGTTTAAATCAGATATCATACAATAGATATTTCTGCTGATAAACAGTTGGAATTTTACGGACCCTTATTAAAACAATCTTAATTTTTTTGTGGCATATTTTGATATGGTGTTGGCTAAGACAGCTTTCAGAGTCAGACATAAATTACAGGCAACATTATATTTGAATTACATATATCCCCCCCCAATTGCATTATATGGATTTTTTTATAGTGTTTCTCTGATTGCTTCCTTTCTATTTGTTTAGTTAGTTGACTTCATTGCAAGGGTCTATCCATTACTCAGGGAGATTTTACAAAAATGAAAATGCGTATTAGATCAGTTGCTTTAAAATTCATGTAAGGATACCTAGGGTAAAAGAACATTTAAAACACCTTCAAGACATTTAAAACAATGGGAGATCATATATGAAGAGCTTTAACAATGTCCAGAAGTAGAGGCTTTGGAAGAATGTGTCAATCAATAATTAAAACCAACAATAAGCATCTCTATGATAACTAGTTAGCGATATGTTCTCATGATCCACTTGGAAGCTTTATCCTTTTCTGAATTCAGTAGAGTTCCCAGCCTCCATGATATCTTGTGGCAATGAGTTCTGCTAGTTAACTGACCATTTTGTTAAAAATTACGTTCTGTCATAGGATTCTTTGAATTTAAGGTCAGTTGCCAGGCACAGACAGTGTGAGTACAGGAACAGAAGGCAGGAGTAGAGACCAGGATGGAAATAAAGGCAAAGTGCGAGGTCTGCTGTCTGAACTGAAGGCAATGCAACTAGGCCAGGCAGGACATAGAACAGAAGCTAGGAGATGACAAGGCTATGGTGCCACCATCCATCATACACCAGGCAGGGGCTGCAAGCACGGAAGCAGTGAGCAACCCTTGCAGAATTTAAAGTTGAGTGAGAACAGACTACACATTTTAGCATTTCCTTTACAATGTCTGTCTACATGTTCATTTAAAGGGTTTTTTATGTCTGATAAAACAGACACTAACAGCAAAGAAAAAAACGTGGAAACCACATGGCAAGAAAAACAGGGTTTTTTGTATACTGTACTTAAAAGTACAGGCTTGATGTTGTTGTTATATCCAAAATACCAATTCTTCAATGGCCTCTTGCATTTTAAACTGGCATTTTTGCTAGGTGTTTGAGGCAAGCAAGTCTCCACCATCTCTCTACCTAGTTGTGGCAGTGACTCTGTAATGATAACCATTCCTGGTTTTCCCAGCCCCCGTCTTCAGAAAAGTACAGGCTTTTGTCAAATACATTTTGTGAATAGTGCACACAGTTTACAAGGAAAAGGCAAGTGTTTTCTGAACTTTTCCCCAAAATCCTCAGAGACAGGTTTGAATACCTGTTTCCTCCAGTAGGAAGCTTAGGAGTAGACTGTTCTTGTCCTAATAGTACATTCTTTAAATACTCAAAATGGCAAATAACTAGAGTTAAAGAGGAGGACACAAGTACAGAATTATTTGTTTGGGGGAGGGGTTAGACAGAATTGAGCAAGGAGCTGAGGTAGATGATCTCTTGAGGTCCCTTTAATTTTTATTGCGCTATGAAACTATGATTTACTTAATTTTTCTATACCTCAGGCTGTCTGTAAAATTGGTCAAGTATTGCAAAGATCTGGTATACTAGTGGCCAAGCTGCAGTGTACATGCCACAAGTGGCATAAGCAGCTGTTGTGTATGGCACAGGGATGCTGGCACTGGGGAGCAGTTGTGGGTCCATGCTGATGGTTTTGGCCCGGCGGGAGCTGCACAGCTAGGTGCCACCAAATTCAGTGTTGCCATATCGTGGTGGTAAAGGGATTCACCAGCACTAGGCAATGACAGTACTGAAAATGAGAGTGGTTCTGTCTGACACTTTGGACTTAACTTGTGGCATGCTTGCCAAAAAGTTTGTCCACCGCTGATCTATTAGAAGGGAAAGTGCTGTATGACTGTGTTGCAGGCACTGGACTGCTAGGAGTTGAAGATTTTTCTCTAGGCTTTAGTGTGGGGGCTAGTGCCCTTGGAGCAAGAGAATCCACCTTCTCCTTCTGGCATAACCATGGAATACCACTGGGCCCTGGTGTGAGGCACAGAGCTTGATACTGTAACTACCAAATTGCACCCAGCTATGGTGCAGTTTGGCTCATTGTGGCACCTACCACACAGGAGTGTGACCTTTCGTTAATTAATGCAGGGGGTATTGAGTCCACGGAGAGTATGCATGGTCGGATTTGTATTACTTGACAAGGAGAAGCTTCCTTAAGTTTAGTCATGTGCTATCTCCCCCACTCTGGTATGTCTCCAGTATGCTCAAAAGCAGTAGCAGGAGGAACCCTGGTAGCAGCTTCTTTCCCTCATTTCTAAGTTTGGTCCATGCATGCCACAGTGGGTGGAGTAATGCATACTCAAGAATGGAGCTCCTCAGCAGAGTTGGGGAAGCAGTATAGACATATCCTGGAACTGAGGGGAAAGACTGCAGCCAAAAATTCACAGAGCCTAGCAGAATACAGGATCTGAATCAGTATAACTGTGGCGTCTTGTATCAGATTCATGTATGTGCCATTCTCATGGCAGAGTGAACCGGAACAAAATTTGTTCTCTTCTCCCTTGAGCTCCCTTATCTGTCTGTATCCACCTGCTGTCATCTCTAGTCTTAAACTAAACCCTCTGGGGAGGGAGACCAGCTCTCTCCTTCTGTGTTTGCACAGCATCTAGCACAGTGGTTCTTGACTCTTTTATCCGCAAGGCACCCCTCGTTAGACCTGAGGCTCCCCTCAGAAAATGCCAGTTTTCACTCTGTTTTTGATTACAGAAAAAGTAACAGAGCAATTCCTCTGCTGCTAAGAACTCAAACACCTGCAACGGTTGCAACAGGGTGGGGCATTTTTGACACTGCAAATTCCTATTTGAAATCTCTTGCTTTATCCTGTGAAGCATGTTTGCACATCTGACAGTGCCAGCAGTGCCAGCATGGCACCCTTGAAAGGCTCTCAAGGCACCCCAGAGAGCAGGGGCACCTTGATTAAAAACCACCCACAGTGAAGATCTGGTCCTGGGTGTGGGGGGGCTACCTCAATCCCAACACACACTAGTAACACTGGCCGGACCCTGATGGACAATAGTGGTTTGTGGGGTAATAGAGAAGTCCAGCTGCAAGGAACCTCCAGAGGTCATCTAGTCCAGCCCGCTGTCTGAGGTAGGATCATCCTATCTAAACCACCCCGTGCACCCATAATCTAAACCAGTGCTTCTCAAACATTTCCTCAGCATGACCCCATTTATGGCCCCATCTCCTCAGCATGGCCCCTCACTCCCCACCCACAGCTCCTCCATCCCCACTGCTGCTACCCCATTTGGGATTGTGACTCACCATTTGGAAACCCCTGATCTAAACTGCATAATAGCATCCTCAA